GCTAAAATAAAGTATTTTACAGTAGTTTCAGTATAATTGAGGTAAAAACAATTTGTTTATACTTATATGACATATTACTTCAATGTCATTACTGACCAATTTACTTGCAAGTCTGTAACTTTGATAAACTGAATAAAATACATAGAATACAGATAATAAAAAATTGTTTACCATTACCTCAATGTCATTTCAACCAATATTAAAATCAAGAAGGAGTTAATACAATGGCAGATTATCAGTAGCAGGGAGCTACCCTGTGGGTTCATTGCCGACCATTTAAGATCACAAGTGTGATGGACCATAATAATGACAGCAGTAATGACATGCAAATCTTTTATTGATCATTTTATGACGCAAGGTTCATTCATTGTGAAAAACTGGCCATGCGACTTACTCCTTTGAGGGGAATTATATTGCGCAATTGTTATCAAAATAGCCAAATAACTATGATCTGCTGAGCATGTATTCAAATGAAAAAAACTAAAGGTTAGGTGAACTGGAAATAACCGAGGTTGGTCGCGAAAAACCACAAACACAGAGGCAAAAGTTGGTGATGTTTAAGTCTGTTTAATAATGAATGAATATAGAAAAGTGAAGTGACCTGGCTACTTAGCATAAGAATAATGGAGGCCATTCACAACATTGATAAAGCATGAATGACATCACAGCAATTCTTTCAAAACCTCTACATCTCGCAATTGACTCAATTTGTCATTTTCACCTTCCTTGCATCCTCGTCATGGCTTTGACAAAGTACTGCCCTAAAGTAACCCAAAACCATTTATCTGTAATTTATGCACAATTTTTGTTTTATTTGGAGACATCTGAAAAAGGTTTTTATTTTATTCATAGTGAAATTATTTGCTCTATTTATGTCAAAATGTCAGAATAAATGGATCAGTAGGAGTTTTATTTCTTTGAATTTAATGAAATAATATTTTTGGGATTGAAAGTTATTCATCTAATTTCATATAAAGTTTACATTGATTGAATAATATACTCAAAAAGCCAAGCAACAATGAGTGAATAAATTTCCTGAAAATCTCATGGCTAAATCGAGAAATTTTATAGCCAATAGGAAATTTTGTTCACTTTACAGAACATATTAGAGAAACAAAAAATGAAATTACACAAAAAGAAAACAATTGCAAATTTCTGGCAAGAAAAATTATTCTAAAGCATTATTATCTATGAACAATGGATTGTATAGTCTACAGCTATAATATTCTCTATCTTCCTCTCAAATAGACAATAGGTTACATTACATCTCTCTATATTACATCATAGCATGATCAATCAAATATTCGCATATGATTACCGATGTTGCATCTTTTAGAGCATCCTGCACTTGATCTCATTTATTTTCACCCAATCAGCAAAGTTCAATGCAGTTAAAATAAATTTAACATTTGTTACGCAAAGGTTTGTTGATAAGAAATTTCGTGGAGGGGTACTACTACACAAATTCTTTCCCCTTCACTTCTTTTTTGAGCGAGAAATTTTTCACAATAATGTTTGATGTAATTTTTGTTTTTGTGCTCATCTGATGTCTTTTTTTTCTGTAATTTTTCCTAAAGAAATTGTTTCTAAAAATATTGCTTTTGAGATTACATTCTAGTTATATTTGCTACACAAGTCGAGAATGATTGATTGTACAATTTTGTATTCTCACTGGCTCACTGTTTAAAAGTTTAGATTGTAGTAAAGTACAAGTCTCCAGTCTACCAAAAGTTGGATTGCTGACTGTGTGATTAACTCGTTGTCAGCTGAAAAAATCTTTTGTTATCGTTCACACACCGTTCTGAATTTAAAAAAAATGTTAATCACATTCTGTATGGGAAATGCGGTTCAATTGGTCTATAGAACATCAACAAACTGCGTTTTGACCCAAAATTTAGGCATTGGTCACATACATGTAGTACCACTACACTTGAGAGGACCTCAAAGTTTCCCAAAACCACTGGTCAGTTAGACATTATAGAATGGTATACAGACGAGTTCACCTTTGCCAGAGTTTCACATGCATCACTCACACATACTGTGACCAATAGCATATGGTAGTAACTCATCTCAAAACCTAGAAAAGTCTCATTTGGCTGTTGCTGGCCATTAGTAAATATTCAAATAAAGGAATGAGCTTTTAATACTTTAATGCGATAGGGGAGACAAAGCGTTAGTGTTTTTATATGATTTATTAAGTCAAAAACTGTGGGAAAAATGTATATAAATTCAAATACACTGTAGACCAGTGCATATTGTCAGGATAAAGTAACAGTATTCCAAATAAATGAGAATGTGGAAAAAAATGGTCTTACATTTTGGTTGTTAAGGTTATTGTAATTGAGTGTCGTTACCAACATCAACAACGTATTGCAATTATGCGAGTAGACATACTTATAAAGTTTACTTTGACTGGTGTCTTTAATTCCACCACAAAGTAAATTTTGAAAAAAATCATAAGGTTCTGTAGTTATTTTAATTATAATTTGTTTTAAAAACTTTTCATAGGATTCCATTCAGCGGATTTTACTCATACCAGAAAAAAATGATGAAATTAAAACTCATTACCTAATTAATTTAGCATACATGTGTAGATTGAAACTTGACTTTTGAAGAAACAAAATGAAAATTGAAAGAAAAGAAAAAACGACACTTAGAAGTTTATAAACTTGGGTGTAATTATAAACATACTTAAAGTGTGTGGAGACAGAACTTTGAGAGATGGCAATAATTCAGTTTACATGAAGAGTATCACGCACGAGTATTGTGTGAAAGGGCAGACATAGACAACCACACAAGGTGTACTCTAATTCTAATTCTAATTGACATAAACCCCCCTCCCCCCCAATAAAACATTGATGGCACAGTAGAAAATGGTATTCAAAAACCAAGAACTAAAATTAAGTCTTAATTTTCCAGTTCTCACTTACTGCAATTTCTTCTTCATAGTTAGCATTCCTCATCCTTAAAAAAACAAATAACTTTGTTTTTGACAAAAGTTGAATCTGGTATCCCAAAATGATTGACATCAAACACTTAATGACCCCCTTATGAAGGGGTTAGGGGAGCACAAATCTAGGTCAAATTATGACCTCAGCATTTTTTAAAACAAAAATGAACTATAATTAAACTAAAATTATGAAGCCCGCATTTTCTAAATAATGTTAAATATTTGGCAGTAAGGAAGGATGGTAGGGAACAAGTTTAATCAAAACAAAATATTCTTGTTATTCTGATAGCTTACAGATTTTTCAAATATAATTCTCAGTTCTGGAAAATAAAGTCCAGCTGCATGGCTAGACTCATTTCCATAGAAACAAGGATGCTTGATCTTCTTTGCAGAGCCGTGTTGAAATGGTGGCCATTTTGAGAAAAACATTTGAAATCATGCAATACTGGTATCACCCTTAGATTTTTGGGGAGAATCACATATTGAATTCAATTAAATGTTTTCCAAACTACATATAATCAGTCTCAAAAAATGTTCTAAGTATGTTTACCAAAGCATATTATTTCCATGACAACGAAATAAATACCCTTTTGACTATATACATTTACAATGACAACCTCAATTCTGTATAGTGTTCATTTACAACTCTCGCCATTCACGATACAAATTTTCACGGAGTAATTTGATTATTATAAAAACTGTTCTACGTCAATGTAATATTATATTCATATATACTCTTCATATATAAGCTTCAGTATTTTATTGCACATTAGCGAATAATCTTATTTTATATTTCAATCCATCAAATTCTATGTGTATCATATGTCATATTTTGATGTATAATAGTTGGAATTGTACTACATGACAACCAATCCTTCTACACTTTATTTAATTTCAGAAGACTAAGAAATTAAAATATTAAAATATATTAGACATTAATTAATTTTATTTGTTTTCAATTTTATTTATTTAATTATTCATTCATTCATTCAATTATTTTCAATTTCATTCATTTATTTAGATCTCAATGCCCCAGCTCTCATGAGAGAAAGCAACCACATTTCCGCTGATATCCACTACTTGACGTAATGAGAGTACACAGGTTTTTTAACGTGCACTGAGGACATAAACAGAACACGTCCCCATCCAATAGACTGTCATCCTCCCAAATCCAATACAACATGTGTAGTAGTTGAGGCAGAATGTACATCTAAACAGAATAGGAATTCAGGCAGTGTATTTTAACATGAAAGATTGATTTATCTAATTTACAGTTTAGCTGCATTTTATATCAATACCGTAGATTTATTTTGCTTGAGAAAAACATAAACTTAACCAACATGTTTAAAAAACCTGTAGTTTTTTTATATTTTACCACAGTGAACAAAATACCGATACTGCCTAATTTCAATCAGATATATATATATAAAATATATTAAATATAAATTTATCCAATTTACAGTTTAGCAGCATTTTATATTAACAGATTTTTTTCGCTTGAGAAAAGCATAAACTTAACAACCAACATGTTGGTTGTTAAAATGTAATTTGTAATAGTTTACCACGGTAAACAAAGTACTGCCTAATTCTAATCAAATATATATATAAAACATATCAAATATAAATTGTCAAGATTAGAAGAAACAAAATGGTAAAATACATCATGAATTAAATTAAAAAAATAAATATATAAAATAATGAAGAAATTAAAACATAAAACAGGCGGTATTTTATAAAACAAGGGATATTAGTTCCACCATGCCACAAGCTTTTTTAAAAGTCAGGTCATTACTTTTATCAGATAATGGAACGGAAGTATTAGAGGGCAATAAAATCAGGATTGTACTATACACAAAATTGACCCAATGCAGTATGGATCTGAACACATGTCTTCAGTTACAACTCTTTATATTTACAAGGATTCTGAAAACACACCATTACTACTTAAACTTTCTAAAATGAGTGACTTAATTTATAGCGTAAATAGAAAAAGTGGGCAGTTGTAAACATGAACAGTTATTTACTAAAATCTATAGCTATAGTCACCTACCTGGTGTATGCTGGGGTCATTTGGAATTTGTCTTGCACTAGTAGCAAGAGGAGTCCAAGAAATCCACTCCATCAAAGGCAAACAAATTAAAAAATCCTTGAATGATTATCAATCTACAACATATTGGATCAGGTTTCCAAATTACGCAGATAGTAAAAGTTTCCGGTATCAGTGAAAATAAGATCCTGGCATGTATTTGTGTCTGTACAGAGTGGCTGACTGATATACTATCTAGTCGTAAACACTTGGCTGAGCAGGGAGGAAGTCCTATACTGTATAGAGTTTGTGACGTCACAGTAAGCCAATCTGCATGATAAAGCCTCAACCACAGCCTGATAAAAGACTGCGGCATTGACACTCGGATCTACCATGAATCAACATACTAAAACTAAATATCCTTTACAAAAAAACCTTACTTCCGTTCAGTGACAAAGCCATAATGTTAATCCTTTGAAATTCAAATCAGGTGGCCAGCAAAGGTTTTGTCACGCAGTCAGAACAGTGCAACCATGCACATTCGTTTCCTATGCCAAGCTTTTCATTCACACAGTCTACTCAAGAGACGGCAACTCAATAGCGCACCACAGAATCTTTAGTTGAAAAGAAGGAGAAAAAAACATTCCGGATTGAGTGTGATGTTTAAATGGGGGCACTGCCCCAAATCTCGACTTGTACACCAGGGAATACGGGTTAAGTGGGGTATATATGGATTTTTAAGCGAGTTTTTTATAGTTTTAATTATAGCTTGTTTGCCATGCACTTGAAATGTGTTCATTTGCACTTATAAACAGGAAGTGTTCAATTGATTCTGATCATAATCTGTAAATAAAAGGCTAACCACTAAAATCGTTACACTGTGTCACAGTTCACTGATGACAAAGTACAATTTTGAATAGATAATATATCATGGAGGAAACGAAAAAACAATTCAGCAATGAATTTAATTGAAGCATTAATATCAGATTTTTTAAAAATAGTAGCACCTAAATAAAATAAATCTTTATCAAGAGTTGTCTCAATATAGATAACATTTTCTTCCCCATAATAATTCTTAATTTTCAGCCTAAAACTATTATTTTTTTGCTTGTTCCTGAGCATAGACTGTGATAGGAAAAAATTTATTTAAAAAAAAAAAAAATTTCCTGGTTATAAAAAATAAACAGTTTTGTCCAATATTTGCAATCACGTGATTAAAAAAAAAAAGTATTAAAATGACGATATTGAGTATACTATTAAAATATGTTCTGGCATAAAACCTGGGTGATGGTTAATGTGTTTGCTTATCGCAGGTAAGTTGTCGGTTCAATCCCATAGTCGGCAGTATAAATCAGAGCACAGTTTGCATTTGCCTTCCAAACATTAAGTTTGGAAGACTGGTTTGCAATTAGCACCAACAAACAAAATAACTTCAGGAAAAACAATGTTCTGAAATGTTTTCTGGCACAAGAATAATTTAAAAAAATTATGTTTATGACCAGACTAATTACAGACAGCTACAACAGCTGGAAAAGGACTCAAAAAGAAACAGAAATTAGTGAAAAGGTACTCAGGCAATGACAGGCATGAAAACAACTAGTATATATTTGTAGCTGCGGGTTAAAATACACCAGTGTTATATCTATTGTTTGGTTCGGAAGTGTCCATTGTGAACTTAATGTTCTTTGAATGTTAAAAATCCCACTTCACTGGATGCTTGTATACAGAGATGTGTCTAAACACGTTTTATTCATCCTGTGCCTCTTTCAAAAAAGTCCAGATGAGTCCAAGAATAGAAGCAAGCTTAGTACATTGTTGGGGCTATTATCTGTGGTGTTTTGTAAAGATCGGAATATTTTTTCACTGCGACAACACCATGTAAAAACACTGCTAAGCCATGCAGATATATGGCGGTTAAAAGTCAGCATACTTTGGTGTGTAGAACACAGCATTTGAATTCAAAGTGTACATATCCGGACAAAGGGTCAATACTGGTCATTGTACTTCAAACTGGAAATCAATGCATTACACTACATATGTCACATCACTTTTTTTAGATGAAATGTTTTTTGTAGAATGTCAAACCCTCCGATTTGTAAACAGATAACCATTTTCCTATTATAATCTGACAATAGTTTGCAAATATAACATCCAAATTTATTTTAGTATCACCAAATTTAAGTTCTCATGTGAACCAATAACAGTAATGTGTTTTTAACCTTTTCACACCAGTTCCCTCTTTTCATCACAAATTCACAAAATAGTTCTGTTTATAGTCTGCACTTTCCTTGAGAAAATTGGAATGAAAAAAATCAAATTTTTTGAGCAAAAACTGAAAATTGACTCAAATTTTGTCTGTTGGTTTCAAAATAAGGGTTCATTTCGGAAATATTGAAGAATAAAAGAAAAAGTGCAGAAAAAGTTGGGCAAGAAAGTCTGGTTGTGAAAAGGTTAAAAATCAAATGAATACAACTAGACTACGTACATTTGGTCAATCTGTGATAGAAATAAAGTAAAATGCTGATTTTGTGCGTGTTCTAAGTACTAGTACATGCACATACATTAACAAAGCATCTGCATAATACACATACTGGTACATGTACAACTAAAAAGCAAATAATAACCAACAATTTTGGAAAAAAATTTAAAATATTTTCCAAAACTGCAGAAATTGTTACAAAATAAAAACATTAAGTCAATATCCTGTAAATGTCAAAGCAAACTGCGGAATAGTTTTTGTCATGAAAAAAAAAATTATGGATCCATCACGTTCAGCACATGTAGCAAGTTTGAATAATAGCTATTCATGGAGCCGGGTCTGGAATGGCTCGACTTAGATCCGGGTCTGGAATGGGCCGCCTTGGATCCGGGTCTGGAATGGCCCGCTTTGGATCCGGGTCTGGAATGGCCCGCTTTGGATCCGGGTCTGGAATGGCCCGCCTTGGATCCGGGTCTGGAATGGCCCGACTTGGATCCGGGTCTGGAATGGCCCGACTTGGATCCGGGTCTGGAATGGCCCGACTTGGATCCGGGTCTGGAATGGCCCGACATGGATCCGGGTCTGGAATGGCCCGACTTGGATCCGGGTCTGGAATGGCCCGACTTGGATCCGGGTCTGGAATGGCCCGACTTGGATCCGGGTCTGGAATGGCCCGACTTGGATCCAGATCTGGAATGCCCTGACTTAGATCTGCAATCTGTAACCCAACATGAGTGATAATAATGTCAACTTTGAAAGAAACTGACCCAGGCAAGCCCAAGAAACTATTGTTTTCAAAAAGTAGGTGGAAACTTCTTTCCCCAAACAATGACAAAAATATTCATTAAAAAAAAGCTAATTAATTAATGTCCTAAAATAAGGAAACCTGTAAAAGAAATATCCAAGAAAGAAGTCCAAAAAATAAAGCTGATGTTGACCATGATGGACAGTCAAATATGATGAATAGCTCTGTTCTGACGACTTTGTAAAATTTTGTGTAAAAATAGTACAAGTACAAAACTTTTGAGGTAATACTACCACCAGTAGGTATGAATATATCCAGGGTACATCCATTTTCATGTTGCTGAGAGGGAGGGAGGGAGGATGTTACTGAACAAATCATGTTATTGATTATTCATGACACCCCCTCTCCACACACACACGCGCACGCACACGCACGCACGCACACAGAGACACACACAGAAAAGGCTACATGACCTAATGGGACACTTTATTTTAACTCCATATCTTTTTAATCAATCAAACTTAACAATTTTCACTAAAATTAATTTTACAAAAGTGCGTTTCTGACCAGACCATGCAGGGTCACTTGTTAGTTTCTCTCAAATCAAACCAAAATAATTTTACAAAATGTGACCGGAGATTGATGCACATTTTCTTTTTAGTTTCTCCTGGATGTAAATTTCTGGCTTCCAGTAACCCGTCACTAGTAACCAGTGGTTACAACAAATCACTTTTATCATCAATGACTAAGACAAATAGAATTTGTTGCAAATGACATCTTTAAGTGTAATATCAAGTGATTAATTATTCATGAAAATGTTAGATTTTGACATAAAAAGTAAACAAATGAGTAAACAAATACTAAAATAGCGACAGACATATTTATAACTGCTGTAGTGTTTCTCAATAATATCTTCATTGCAATAAACTTCTTTGGGATCCACAACAAATCACTAAAGATGTAACAGCAAAGTAACACAGTTAGGCTTGAAAAGGTTTTTATCGTCTGCAATTATCCTAATCTGATATTTGTTCATGTGCTCCATCATATTCTATGATTACGTCATTTCGTAGGTGCTGCTTGGTTGGCCATCATATTTGGTGCAACATTGTTACAGTTTTTAGTTTTGATCAGTTTAGACCAAATGGACACAATTCACTATTAGTAAAGTTTGTCAATATTAAAAACAGAGTAGGAAAAAAATGTGTGTTTATTACAGGAAAGATGAAAAAAATTGTCATGAATTTTATTACATATTAAACAGTTTGACAACTGGCTAAACAATCTGGTAATCGGTTGAGAAAAACAAAGTAGTGTTATTTTTATCTACCATGAAGGAAGGGGTTCATTAAATCCCCTCACAACTAAATGAAAAAAAAAAACAGCGCTTGTTTAAACACAAATTTTCAGCTGATATAATCTTAGTTTTGATGTTGAATGTTAAATATAATCTATTAACTGAGAACATAAAACAAAAGATCTAAAATGCATGGCCCTGCGACAAATATCTCTGAGTGTTGGTGGTTTGGATTTGATATGCAAGCCGTATGTTGGCAGGCACTCTGTGACCCATAACGCAAAGTTGAACAGTAAAATAAACCTTGAGAATTTCACAACATAAAGGTACAACAGAAGATTGAATGTAATAGGTTTGTGGAATATTCCCATCTGTGTGGATAGATTTGCCTGTGGCACTCAACAGCATCTTCAAGATGACGATGGATGGCATGTACACTTCAGTGTGTAGCACGGTGGGATTTGAACCAGATAGCATTTTCTCAGAATTCCCAAGCAGCTGCAGCAGTATTAAATGGTGATGAGGATAAAGAACATTTTTTCCATGGATACTTACTTGCACTATTTACCACAGCAATTATTAAAAACATTTTTGTTTGCCAGATTTTTCTCAAAGGCAACAGACAATTTGTTAAATTGTGATTTTTTTTATATCATATTTTTTTTGTAATAATCCATCCACTGAACATGATGAAATATGGATATGACATGAAAAAATATTGTTATCACCATGGATACCAATTAATGAGAAAATGTTTTTTAGCCATTTTTCATGTGAATTCAAACTAATACTGTAAAATACTTTATTATAGCTGAATTTAATTTTCGCTGTAAACACTTTGTGTGTTTTGTTTGGAATGTATTTCCACTGATTTTTGACGAGTTGAATGTAAAACATAGGAAAAAAGGTATATTTGCTGGATTTTATTTTCACTGAATTATTCCTTCAGCAAAAATAGCGAAAATAAAGTATTTTACAGAAAGTCAATGTAAACCTATGACATAATACATAATTATAATCGATTCCCTCAGTGTTAACATTTCATTGATTTCAACAATAACATTTACCCATATTTATATTTAAAATATGAAAAAAAAAATAATGTACATTACATAGTTCCTATAAATAATTCTGTTTCATGATTATCATTGACCATAAGTCAGATTCAAAAATAAAATAATTCGCACTTGCAAAATACGTCTTGATAACAGAATGTAAAATATTTATAGCTGGAATTAATTCTCACTGAAAAGACATTTTCGCTGCATTGTAGAAAATTTATTTTCACTGGATTTTATTATCACAGATTTCAAAATGGTCACCAGTCGGCAAAATTTGATCATTTAACAAAACAAATAAATTTTTGAATTTTCCATTTCTGTCTACCAACTTATAACATAACAAGTGATTTTCTACAGTGGGTGAAAGAAGTGGATTTTAAACAATTTTTCTCTTTTGTAGTTTAATGTAGATGTACCAAGAATGCAGAGAAGAATATGGTGTTGAGATGCCCTTCGTACTTCAAAATTGACAATCATCAAATGTGTATAGCACATTATGAAATGTATAAATGCCCCCAAAATACTTTCGCATTTGTCAAATCTCACGCAAAGTCGCTACAACACTGACCTTTGATTGTCCTGTTTGCACGTTTAATTTCACATGTAACACAGAATTTGAGTGAATGAATATTTGTCTATTGGTCATTGTATACGAGAGTTAGTTTTCCTAATACCGGTAATTGAAATAATTTAAAACCCAATGCGAATGTCTAGGTGACCTCTAAGCCGGTCACACAATTTTACAGATGTATCAAACCTGTGTATAGTGACCACCCAAGGGACTCCAATGAAAATGGTCTTTATAGACAAGGTGGTCTTTATATGGAGGTTTGATTATTTTTTTAATGATTTGATACTGTTGCAACACATTCATTAGAAAATAAATGACATTGTAAATTAAAAATTGTTGGTCTTTAAAAAAAGTAAAATCTGCGAAAATATTGCTCAAATATACATAGGTTGCTAATACGTTATGCCCTAGGACTGCCTAAAAGTGGTCATTATAGGCAGGTGGTCTTTATACACAGGTTGCTAATACGTTATGCCTTAGGACTGCCTAAAAGTGGTCACTATAGGCAGGTGTCTTTATACACAGGTTACTTATACATTATGCCCTAGGACTGCCTAAAAGTGGTCATTATAGGCAGGTATAGAGGTTGTCCCTAACACCGGTTTGACTGTACTATGTGAACACAAGTTTTTTTCTACATAGCCAGCATAAGACTTATAAACACCGGAGACAAATAAGCGGATTAAAGTGTTGCAGCTATCGATAACACGCAGATATCCCAGTACATGATATACTGCACGTATACATATCGGTGAATTTTGATAACATATCCACAGTTACCCGTCTCTGATAAGAAAATATTTCGAGACGATCAGATAATTATGTTTAATGAACAAGTCAATGAGGAGATCTTGGATTCCAGATTATGGAGATTTGGTCTATTTTTAGTTTTCATATCCTGTATGTGTTTTCAAACTGCTGTTTGTGAGAAATATTATCCATTTTCCGGTATCCTGATGAGAGAATGTCATAAGGATATCAGCATTTGCTATTTTTAGTGTGTGAATTCAATGACATTTTTATTCGTTTATTTGGCCAGAGGTGGGTGAGATGAGAGTAAAAAGCGATTTCAATGTTTGTTGTTTTTATTTCATTTTTTGCACTTGTAAACTTTCATTCAAGGGATGGAGAATGATAAAAATGGGTTGAATGTTCAACAAAGAAATTACGGTTGTTGTGCAAGTTTTAATTATCCGTGGCCTTATTTTGATTCACATTTCAGACTTGTTAACAATGAGGGTGCTATTCCAGAATGACACAGATTACCATCACACCTGCTTTGAATTTTATGCATGTCATAGATGAACTCTATTACTGCACTGCTCATGCTGCCATTTTGTTTTACATTTTGGATTCAAGTTCAGAGCTTTCAACACCGAGGGCGCTCTTACAAAATATGATGTCATAATTTAACACCACAATATCCAAAAATTCATTTGCTTTATATCATGGATTCAAATTTTGGGGTTTTCAACTCTGTCAAGGGCACTGTTCTGAAATATGTCATAGGTTAATGTCGTAATAACTAAAAAATACCTTTTGTCACTTGCTTTACTTTGTGTATTTGAACGTCAATGCGCATTCCACACTGAGGGCGCTGGTCACAATTATGATGTCATGTGTTACTATCATGGACATAATGTTTTGCTCACTAAAACAGCAACATTGCCAGTCAAGCACATTTATAGGATTGTGCCATTCACCTGAATGCAGGCAATATCTGAACTTGAATTTATAATTTATTAGCAATAATATAATGAAAACAAGTGGGATCAACCAATAGATGTTGTTGGCTCTACTACAGGTCTAGTGAAAGCTCATTTCTCTTGAAAATGTCAAATCACCTCTTGGAAAGAACAAGATAATTGCATAACATTGCTTAATTCAGAGATTGATATGAGGCATAGTTGTTAACTTGTATATAACAGTCGCTGTTGCACATCAGAAACTAACCAATCAGAAAGGAAATGATGTACCCACAGTAATAGCTCAATACGGTGTTACAAGCACTCGTACACCTGACCAGCAATTGTGATGTGATGAA